AGCTTTGTGAAGTGCCTCCCAGAAAATTCTCACATATGATAGATTATGTTGTTTGTTAGTTGATGTTAAATATACACAATTTTCAGTCGTAGTAAGTAAATACCATAAATAAATTCTTTGAAGTACTATTACATCTACTATGAAGTACTAAGAAAAAGTCTCTAACTTTTGTTTAATATATTCATGAAATGTGTGTCATAAACATGCCTTCAGTTTAGTTCAGCCTTTTAAATTGTTTTCCCTTTAAACAAAATCGGATTACATTTCCGTATTATGATATAGTTTTGCAACGTTAGGATCATGTTAAAATACTGCGTACTAGCTGAATGTGGCGTTGCCGATGCTTCGCAAAAAGCATCCCCCACCGAGCTATTGAAAACCTTTTTAATAGCTATCCATGCCAATACCTATCCTACCACATGGTAGCACCATTTACTTTACATTTAATAACATGTTTTCCTCTCTGCAACGAGTGATAAAAGTTTGTTTCCTCACGTGTAAAATTAACTCTTTCTTGCATCTTTCCCCTTTCCATTTTGAAACTCCTACACACACAAAGTACGATGCAATAAAACAAACTCCTATACCGAACTCGCACACAGCTCACGCCGAAGTAAACTGCAACACAAAATAAGAAAAAATAAAGCAAAAAACGCCTTACACTCCATTACCAAAACATATTCGAATTCGCGCGCACAGAGCACGTTTGGCTCGAAAGTGCGGCGATGCCGCTGGTGAAAGAGCGATCAGCCAGATTATTTATCAGAAAGATATCTAGCAGATATTTTAACAAGAAAGACCTTGGTGAAACGCAAAATTAATATTAAGCACTTTTATCTGACTGATAAAATATCTGTCGGATTAGTATTCGGAACTTTATCAGGCACCGGTGAAACAGGCCCTATAACGTCGTAATTGCAATTAACCTATAAAAGGGGGGATTACCTCACTGTATTGTATATGCTTCACACAAAATTATCCTATCAAATAATTTCCTCCCGAGTTATCCAACCCCTACACTGCATACTGTAAAACAAGTATCCGGGCAATAGTCTCGAGCCACATGTTAGCCCAAAACATTTTGAATATCCCCTCCCAAAATTTGTCTCTGGGTCCTCCCCTCGGCTGGGTGCCCTGGGTCCCATTGGCGTCAGCTGTCATCAAAGCTGCTAAGCTAATACATGTGGCGGGATAGATCCGCGAACTGTGTGTGGGACACAGACACATCAGTGTCCCATCAGGAGACAGCCGCGTCGAATGACACTTCGTTCGTCACGACTGGTGGACGGGAAGGGATGTAACCGTGAGTGACGGACGTAGGATTAGTCGAATATTATACAAGGATAAAATAGTTTCTTGAAGGCGAAAAATTTATTCCTTTATCCCATACCTCTCTTGCGTCCTCTAATAGTTGTGCGTCGCCACACGAATCAGTGTACGACAGGGCCGTCAGATGAACGAGCACGCGAAAAGCCTTCGCGACAGTTTGGGGCACGCAAGAGTGAAGAAACTTGATGCGAATTTGGAGAAACACATGGGTTGGTATATCATATAAAATCATTTGTTAGAATTTACAAACTTTTAATGGAAATGGACATGTAAACAGAAACTGCAGTTATACAAGCATTGATCATTACACCAAGGAAACATTAACACACATTTCTACTTACAGATTACGAATACTATGAACAGTAATTACAAAAAATTCAAATGAATATTTGTTAAGAAAATAAAAAAAAACCAATATCAAGATAAGTATTACATAACATAATTTCAGAAAAAAATTGGGTCTAAATTTAAATAAGGAAGCTTACTATTTAGAAGTGTCACCACATTTTTGCCGATCTCCGACAATATTTTTGTAGTCTCCATGGACGATTTCGTAATGCCTTTTAACACTACTTTTTCTTTGTTATTAAATACTTTCTGCACATTAAACAATGGGCACCACCTCCACGCTAACTACAGAAGAAATCAAGAGCCCAATTGGACTGAAACTTGTTATGTCTTCTTGGGTCCTGCCGTGCTTGCCTTCCGGACATTGCTAAGAAACTGAGCGGGCTTCCGTTCACCGCGGGCACTTTATGTCCTTGCAGAGCATACAAGCGTGCTCCATTTAACAGCCCTGGTGTACGATTTTTATTACTTTTATTGTTTTCTGGAACATGTTTTCTATTAAACAAAAATTAAATTAAAAGAGACGGCGAGGAGTCTGGGTGCAGCCACTAGAGAACGAGGTGGTGAATTTTTGTTTTGCAACCAATTTAACAATGGTCGAGAAAACATAAAACTCTAAATATTAGTTTTTCAACTTTCGAAAACTTAATAGAAAATGCGTTAGTAAGTGGGAAACCAAAATCTCTAGATGAATGTTGAAAAAAATTATAATATTTTAGTGCAGAAGTTGTGAAGATTTTCCTTTCAATTTTCAGACATATGATTAATATTAATTTATTGGTTATGTCTTCCATAAATACTTAATATGTTAATATCTTCTTAAAATTACAATAAACCATGTTCTTCACTAATTTCAGGATATTAATATAACAAGTGTCATCAAATAGGCAACCCTGTTTAAAACGGAAACCTCCCTAAACCGGTACATTTGTTTTGTCCCGGTCGATTCCAGCTTAGATAGTTTTGTTGTATTTTCTTTCTTTTTCTTGTTTTTGTACTTAAATTAAAACCTTTCATATTTTATTTGTTATTTTAAAATGCTTTCTTACTTAGCATTTTTGTTTCAAACAAAAGTTTTGTGTAGTTTCGGAGTGTCAGTATGGAGGTTTTCAAAGATATATCAAAGTTGTTGTTTTTAAGAATATTTTGTCAATTCCAGAAGAATAGTGTTTCAGTTGTTCCACATTTTCATGAGTTGTCTGTAATTAGCAGTATCTACCATTCCAAAGTCAATTAAATTATCATTAATTCTTTATAATTTTAAATAAGAGTGGTGCTCTGCAGCAGCAAAAATACTGCAGAATTGCAGAAAATTGTTTTCTGCAAAGAAGCACGCATTTTGGACACCCACACATCTCAGGAATAACAATTTAAATATTTTCATAGAACACTAATAAATTAATCATTTTAACAACAGTCTTAATGAATACTGCAATAAAATAGTAATTATACATACTTTACAACAGTTCTTTACATGCCAAGAATGTTAAAAAGGTGCTGCTCTGCAATGCAACACATGAATAACAAATATGTAATGACAGGCGACCTCTTCTGGAGCCTTGCTGCTGCATGACATTGGCTGTCATATGCAGTGATGCACTGTATATGAAAATTCTCTCAGTACATGTAGTATGAGTATAAGCAGAATAGTACAATCAAATATTTTAATTTTCAGTTGTACCTTTTTTATTTGCTTTGTATTTTCCTCAAGTTCCTGGGTATCTAACAAAACTATACACCTCTCACATGGCCAGAGGCTGCATAGTTCTATGTCAATTTATGTGTGCATTGGGAATTAGTAATTTGATATTTAAAAAATATTGTCTTAGTTTTTTCCCAGCAATTTTCCCAGAAAGCAACATTATAGTTGGAGTGTCCAAGGCAATTCGCGCAACTATTCTCTCCAGCCTTTGTGGGATATTCTCAATCATAATTTCTGAAGACTAGATTGTATTTGAAGTTGGTAAAAAGTGTATTTAGTTTTAGATAGTATCCTTAAACAATATAATTTCCATACAAAAACTCACACATCTTTTAAAATATATTATTTAGCATTAAAATGGAATTATTTGCTCAGTAATCAGACATCTAATTTCTCTTTACCTTTTCTAGATGAATCATTATTTTGACACATTCCGTAGTAAAAATTTATAGTTTGCAAGAAGTATTGCAGACACACTGCACAACCATTTACATTAGGATTTCATATCCTTAGTATAAAGAAAGTTATGTAACATTCAAAAACTTATGTCAAGATTTTGATGGTTACAAAGATTTTGGAAGTCCATTTTACTGAAAAATTGTTTTTTAAAACCATCAGTCCATCTGTAAATAGCACTAGCATAAACTGTACACTGGACACACCTGAACCATCTGGACGAACTCAAGGTCCTGTAAATCCAAAATTATCTTAGAATTTGGAAGTACATTGTACAGGGGCACATATGATCCAAGTCTGGTGATCATTAAAACCTCTCAAATTTCAAAAATGTCATTAAATTAATTATTTTTTTATTCTGGTGTAGTGCCTTCAGTATTGAAGCTAGAAGTTTCTTTCTTTGCAATCTATTTTTCAGTGTTAGATTTTGAAATAGTTTGGAGTAGTTTTTCTGAAATATTATTTTTACATTATTTTGAATCTCAGTGCTTCAATATTACCAATACATCCAAAGTTTTCCTTTGAACATTTTTAAAGATAGAACACTAAATACTACAGAATCGATGCAGTTGTCATTCAAACTTTTGAGTTTTCAAGATTCACATTTTTTTCCATGGCCACCTCTGAGCACTAACATCCCCAATGATCTAGGGGTTAGTAGCTTCAACTGTTGAACCTACACAAAGTTCGAATCCCAGCCAAGACAAACCTCGAAAACATTTTCAATAGTTTGCAGAGGGTCCTATGAAAGACAGTATGTGCTATTTGAGCGCGACTAGTTTCTATTTGATATTAACCATTTATCTATACAAATTTTGGTTAGCTGTCAAGACTTCATTTGAATTTCTTGTCTGTTTTATATTTATCCAAAATTATCTATTTTGAATAACCACTGTATATCGACCTTTGTAATTGTATTGCAAGATTTTAGTTGTGCCATCAGAAAGAATCATTGAGTGAAGAATAATAAATTTATTAATGGAAATGAACATAATAGCTTTTTATGATCTCTGAATAGAATGTAGAGGGAATGCTTTTTTTTTTATTTCTTTGTCTACTGAACTTTATGAATACTATATCTAAAAAACATTTACAAATCACAAGTTTCAAAGTCTGTTAATACTTTTTCAAATAACTGCTTTGAAACACATTTTTATTGAATGTCAAAAAAAAAATCCAAACAATTTTAATTCAATGAACACTCAAGGTTCCAGATCACTTTGAATTAGTATGGATTCTTTGGCTTTTAGTTGTGAAACCTAACAGTTTAGACAGAAGTTTATATTTAATCAGGATGATTTTAACAGAAAGTGGGAGAAGAAAAAAGTAAGGAGCACATCAGTTGGGATTCCCTTCTCAGTTTTTGTTAACAAGTTTGGCTAAGAATATGGAATTGCTCAAAAATATTTTGATTGTATCAAAGTATTCTCCTTAGTGTTCTTTTTTAATTCTTTGCTATTTTGGCACAACATGTCACTTCCCTAACATGTTCAACTTTTGAATGTTAAGTGTAAAATGGAACTTATTTTAAATCTAATAAGAAAAGTTCCTAAGAATGAAATTTAATCATTTGTAGGCCAAAAAAGAGAGAAATATCAAAATGCATTACAAAAAATTGAGAGGAGTTTCTCTATCCTAAATTCATATTTTAACAAAATGCAAATTATACTTTAAATTTTTTGTCATATTTTTTACATACCTTTCCTTTTTTTTCCCTTCATTTTTTTCTTCTTTGTTTTCTCTGAAAACAAATGCAACTGTACTACAGTTATGTTATAGCTTATCTATGTGATATCAATTAATAATTACCTCAGGAGATATGGAAACTCAATGGTAGAATTAATTTTTATAAATCAGTGAAGGACATAAATGATAATTTTATTTCAAACATTATACACGTGTTCTTTTTCAACTTCTATAAAATAAATAGAGGAAACGCAGACACAGTGTAACATTCAAAAATAAAATATCGCAGTACTATCTTACTCGATGTGCAGACTTTACATTTTTTTTTATTTATTCGGGTAAAACCTTGTGCAGGTTGTTTACTGAAACACCAAGAATATTTCTTACAACTTAATGCAAACAGATCAAGGAGGTATTTTTGAAATTTAAATTAAGAGTTACAAAACCTAATGGTAATATCATTCTGTGGGGAAACTTGATATTTCACATAACTGGAGCTCTTTTTTCAAGTGTTATTTTAAGTACAAATGCACACACAGAAACTCTGACACACTCATCACAATATCACAATAAATCAATATCACAATAAAAACAATGTATGTTTTCCATTTCATACAAAATGTATGGCACTTGTTGGAAGAGCATCAGTCATATGAAGGCAAGTAACCCACAGACATTGTATGATGTAGTCTTATAAGATGAAGCACACTACAATTCTGTCAAATGTCCATTCTTATTTCCTGTTGAAAGACAGCCATGGTTTACAGCTGTCAATGTAATGGAGGGCTTTTAAACGGCAATCACTGCACTGTCTTCAAGCCACGACGGAATCTTTGGCAGTTTGGAGATCTGAAAAATTACAAGAAAGTAGTAGTACAGATACATTAATTAACAACCTTATTTTCAAATTGTAATTATTTTTTAGTATCATCACAGATACTAATATTAATGGGAGCCAAAATTATTAATTTTGTTGCATAAATATACTCTTCTTCCCTCTGAATGTATGGTATGCATTGTCAAGAAAATGAACTGTGCAAGTATTCTATTTTATAAAATTGTAAATTACTAGTAAACAAAAGGAGATTAAAAATGTTATTTTACATAAAATAGCAATTTGCAGTGTCTTGCAGCAGTAGCAAAAATACTGCTTAAAAAAAAAAGGAAAAGTTATCCACAATATAGCACGCAAACTTCACAAAAACAACAAATAGAACACATTTCTACAACACTGTAATAAATTAAAATATTTTACTGAAAACAGCCTTCACAAATACTGCAAAAACTAGCTAACTAGGGACGGATTTTAATGAAATGTCATTTTCTACTTCAGAATAACGCCGCTTAATACAGGAATTAATTTTATGCTCCGAGATAAAACAACCCATTTTTTATAAGACAGTTTTTTGCGTTTTTTGTAGATTTCAACTAATAGATCGTTGTTAACTCTTCCATAATTTTTAATGCATTTTTCACAGATTTTATTGTCATTTTCATGGTACTTGCTTCTAATAATATTTACGAGATGCAACAAATGCCCTCCACAGAATTCCTCAGTAACCTATTCAATTTCTTTGCTCAGAAATCGTAATGTCAACCATTGGCAGTTATCTAAGGTTCCTCTGACTCCAATCAGCACCATTATCTCAAAATTGGCCGAACTGACAAAGACAGATTTCCTAATAAAGAATAGTTCAAACAAAAAATTTGCAAGCTAACTGCGCTTGAATGAACAGAAAAAGCCTCAATTACATCAGTAATGTATCCAGCTCAAGTTGTTCATGCAAACTGTTTTTTATCACTTTTTGTACACAATTTTTCTTTGCTTCTAGGGCATTTTAAAAATATTTGAAGATAATTTTATTGATCATTATTGGTGAGGTTTTATGTCATCAAAATCTTCCCCCTAGTACTAACATAAGAATATGTATCGTACAAGAGTTCTTAATGAAGAATATTACACAAGTTACCATTTTATAACTTAACATATGAATAACAAATATTTTATGGTGGGTTGCCTCGTCATTGGCATTGGCTAATGCATAATATGATTATGAGAATTTTCATTGAAACTATCTCCGCCCCTTAATTCCTGGGTACGTAAGAAAACCATAGGCTGCCTACTATTAAATATTTACTATTGAACAGCAACTTTTTTGATATTGTTGGTATGTAAAGAACTGTTGTGCTGTGCATCTGTATGTACTCTACTATGTTATTGCAGTATTTGTGAAGATATTTTTGTTAAAATATTTAATTTGTTGCAGTTTAAGGAGTATTGGTAAGCAGTGTGTTAAGTTGTTTTGGGGAAACCCATTTTGTGTGATTTTGTTGCTGGAATTTTTGCTGCTGCAGACTACTAGTTGTCTATTATTTATACAATATATAATAATGTACATATTTTTATGATTATTAAAATATATTTGTTACATAGTATCACGGTCATAATGGTAAATTATATACTGTGCCGAACACATTTCAAATATAATTGCTTCTCCATTGTGTCACGATGAAAACAATTGAATACCATAATGGACATTAATACATCAGACAAAACAAAATTTCCAAGAATTAATGGTGTTTGTATCTCCATGGTAAGAGCAACCGAGTGTAAACCAGGAGACCCATATTTGATTCCCAAATTCTAATAATTTAAATTGTTCAATCTCACATAATTGATATTTCAATTAAATTATCTCCCTCACCCACATTTTGCATTCTAAGACAATTTTTTAGTTATCTTATAATGTGAAAAACTATTCTGTTGTAGCATTATAAAATGTCTTGTTATTAATTACTTAGAATAAAAAAATAGATACTGAACTCTTGCTAGAGTAATTAAAATTTTACACACACACACTAACCAACCACACACACACACACACACACACACACAC